AAGGAAGGTTTTAACTTAAACACAGTAAGATTATATACAACAAAAACAGTTATTAAGTAATAATTACAGTAACACTATCTAATCCATTTGCATTTGGCAAAAATAGAGAAAATACTTAATTATCTATCTTGGTGAGTTTAAAGTTTTGTATCTAACTTACATTCTATTATAAATAAGGAAAACTGTAACTATTTAGTCTTCAACTCCATCAAAGACCCAAGAAGGGGAAATGTTACCTAATGACAGGGACCTCAAGGTGAGTGCCTAGGCAGTCCCGCAAAATTCCTCTTCAATATTGGGGCATCCAACTCTGACCTACAGGCCTAGCATGTCTGACAGACTTTACTATTGAAGCAGGAAATTTTGAAGGACTGTCTTACCTTGTCTTGGCAAAGTTCAGCAGTCACTTTTCTTGCATTCTGCTGGCCCAGTTTGGACAGTAACTATCAGTAATTAAGGCAAGGACAGTTTGTTTGCCCATATGACTAGCTTTTACCATAAAGAAAATAAATTCCATATGGAGTTTTTTCAATGCCCATCATCTTCTCTGAAATAGATTGGTGCTTCTAGGAGCAGATGTGTCTCACTATCATGAAAAGCCTTAGGTTATTAAACATATCAAATGTCATAATCTATATATCTTTGAAGTGTCTGAAGATCATCTGTCTAAATATATCTGTGTATGACCTTGAAAACATACTTAACATGACTATAAGTTTGACTGCTATAGATGACTATTAATCTATTTCTTAATTATATGTTACATTTTTAAATAAGTTGCATAAACCTAATATCTTAAACAAGAGTAGAAATATACATGTGGTATAACAAAATTAACTTTAAATTTTTATCGATAAACTGAAATCCATACTAATGTAAAATATTTAAGATTAATAGTTGCTTTTTGGATTAAAGAAGATTCAATAACTTACCCTTTTATCCTACCATTTTTATATTCCCCCTTTTTCTTTTCAGAATAAGATCTCTGAATCTAATCTCCTTTGTTTAGCTTTTTTTCCTGACCATTATCCATAACAACTTGTAACCACCACCCCCCAAATGATGACAAACATTCATAATTTATTTTTGGGAATCTGGGCATAGTTCTTTAGACTACTTCTTACTGATTGGGGGCACTGGTAATCTTTGGAGGACCCTGAGAGAATTTAGGATTATGGTCAAGTCCTGGCTGGAGTATTCTGTGAGGCTGGATCATCTCAGCCAGCTGCCTTGAAGCTGCTCTGGATGCAGAACTCAGAGGAAACTGCAACAGAGGCACTCTGAAATGTTGAGTCATCTGTGCCATCCTCTCCCACTGGAGATTTTTCAGGGGCTCTTCCTTGACTTTTCGTAACCCAGAATGAATCCATAGCCTCTCATTTCCTGTGGAAATAAAAGCAGAACCTTTTCCCCAACACAACATATCCCTTGACTTAAATTTTGAAGTCAGGACATTTTTTAAATATATAGGTTGGTTTAATATAGCAGTTTTCATAATTGAATGTCTCTCAGCAGTTATCATTTGCTCATTAGCAGTCAAAATATTTAAAGACAACATAATAACTTACAGTATCCAGACTCTTTGTATATTTTTCATCTTTATGTGGCCTTTTTTTATATTACTTTACTCACTCTTTTAGGACTTTATTATTTTAAAACTGTGTATCTCTTTTTTGACTGTTCATACCTTCTCTTTTCTCTCCCAAGCCTCTGTATATTTTTAAGCACATTGTAAACCTTTTAGAGGTGTTTTTTTTCTTCTAAATCTGTCTTTACTGCATATCTCTATATTTTTCTGACCACATGAGTCTTTAAACTTCTAAGCAGGCTAAGACTAAAGTGTAAGCTTTGGTGGCTGTCTCTGCCCCAATCCTTGGCTTCCTGAGAGTCTAGTTTTATGGCAGAGGTACCTGCAAGAGTCATGCTTAATGTCTCAACTTTGGGAAGCTGTTGGGTCCATCCTGCCACCAAGTAGTATGCAGCCCTCTGCCCACAAACCCCATTTAAGTACTCCATAGCAGGACCTCCCAAAAGAGCTGGCCATGCACGAACCAGGAAGCCGTGTCTTAAAGGAGTCATGCCTCTGCTTGCCACTAGCAAACAGAGCCTACCCAAGAAAATGCTGCTACCAAGAAGCTGTGCTTGACTCTGTTCTTTTGTGTGTTTAGAATTCTCTTTTTTTAACATTTTCCTCAGGTTTTATGTGGAAATTCTTGTTGAACGTTTGGACACCAGACTGTGTTCTTTCTTTGTAGTGTGTATGTGTCTTCATGTGCTGTGTGTGCATGTATACAGGTGCACCTCCCTGTGGAGACTGGAGGAGGACATTGGGTGAAACAGGGTCTCTCACATAACCTGGAGCTAGACTGCTGACCAACAAGCGCTAACAACAACAAGCAATCCTCCTTCTGTCTCAGCCCCAACAGTGCTAGGCTTACAGGAATGCATGGCCATGCCCGAGTTTGTATATGTATGCTGGCGATTTAAACTCATGTCTTCATGCATGCAGAATAAATACTATGAGCCATCTCCCTGGTATTGCCTATCTTATTCTTAATGAAGAATTTAGACTCAGTAGGTAATCATTATAAGAACTGGCAAAGAGGACCATTATCCCTATACAGCATCATTTCTTAAGTGTGATGGTTAACCTCAGCAGACCATTTGGTGCAGCAAGCTTGCTCAGCCTGTTGAAGGGTCACAGAACTAATGGAGCAGAGAATGAGAAGGGCACACAGAGTGGTTCGTTCATGTAAAATTGAAGGACTTTTGTTACTGGTTGGCAGTTTCAGTAAAAACAAATTCCTCTGCATTAGTAATACTAATACACTGCGTAATTCAATTTTTTATTTTCTTGTGCATTCTCTTTCTATATGGTCACTAAGTATAATTGTGTAATTCTATTGTGTAATTCTATTTTGTGCATTATAATTTCTATATGGTTACTAAGTATAATTGTCTAATTCTATTGTGTAATTCTATTTTTTATTTTCTTGTGCACTATAATTTTTATATGGCCACTAAGTATAATTCTTTCAACGTCATTAGCGTACCCTTCAGTGTCTTTGAGAAAGATGATGTCATCAGATATATCCTTTAGGAATGAAAGTCCAAATCCCTTAGCCAGCCAAGTGGTTAAAAGCCTACAGAGTAACTGTATCATTTTGTTCCAACTGAATAGAACTGGAGTGTAGTTTTATCTTCTAAGTATCATATTTTGGAGATGATGTAAACTAAGAAAAGTAGCTGTAAAAGAAATTCTGTAGGCAGTTCTGACAGAGTAACTGTTACCTCCCCATCCCACCAGCCAGCTCAGTTCTGCACAGATAGAATGTTGTTAGCTTCTGCTGAAACTCCTCATAGTCAGTGTTGCAGGGTATGGGGGCAATATGAAAGACAAAGGCAGAGAACAGAGAGTTTATTCTTATGTACAAGCAGGAAGGTGTGGATATTCCAAATCCACAATGTGTAATGTGAGTTTAAATAAGAAGACAATGGAAACTCAGGTCAATATTCTTGGAAAGAATTCTCGACAGAAAAATTTTAGAAAACCACCATACTAACATTTTAAGTAGAAGTAATCAGACATCTGAACTCCATCTGTCTAGAATGATACGAAACAAATTCTCATTCCCCAAGTGAAATTGTTTTAATGATGTAATGTGGGATTTTGTGCAGTCATTTTGGCAGCATATATCCTTATGTGTGTGTTTAAGCTAAAGTTATGTGGCATGCATTGTGGGAAAGGCATTCCTACTAGCATTTGACTTTAACTCAGAACAGCGTTGGTCACAACTGTGATAACAACTGGAGCAGCTGGACAGAAGTGAGTCACTGGTCTGTCTCTTACCCCAAGGGATTCTGACGTAGGTTAAAGATCCCATTGTTTGCTTGCCCTAGATGGAAGTAAATGCAGCATTTGAAAAAAATGACATGGTATGGTGAGTCAGGGAACCTAAAGATGTTCAAGGTAGAGGCATTGCAAATCATAGAGAATGATCATGAAGTAGAGAGAGCTGTCTGCACATCCTGGTCTCCTGCAGGCAGGAACCAGGTTAGGTCAGAGGTGCAGGAATGAGAGTTCTGTACTAGTTCTTTGCCATTAGTGTGACTTCTCTGGTTTATTCCAGTTTCCATCTTCTTCCAAATGACTTGTTCTCCCAAATCTCAGCACAGCATTTGACTAGCTGTTTGCCTGTACTATGGATAGGTGCTGTGAGCACGGCAATTCAGGTAGGTGGCAAGGTTGAGCTCATTGGATGATGGATGCATTAAGAAAGGGTATGACTAGTAAGCTCATGGGGGGGGGGAACTGTCTTGTCTGCTAGGAAGTCTATGGAAGGCTTCCTGGAGGAGATGACATTGACCCAGGATTACAGAGGCTGAATTGGATTTAGCACTCAAGAGCAAATAGGTAAAGAGACGATGTTTTAGGTAGTGAAGCAATATGAGCATTTCTCTTTGACAGTCGATAAATCTAGCTCAGCAACTCTGTGTGTAGATGCCCTGAACCATCTCAGTAGCCTAGGCAGAAGCTTTGGGGTTTGTGGTCAGAGCATTTGTGGGTTTTAAAAGTTTCCCAGATGATGCTGATTCAGAGTGCACTGAGAACCACCAGCAGCTGAAAGTACAGGCCATTATGAGTTGTGAAAACATCAGGGAAGGGAACTGGAAAAGGACCACAGAGGCTTCCTTCCCTATGTTAAGCCAAGGACTTTCTCACCTGTGACCTGCAAGTATAAGGGGACCACTGAAGCCTGCTTCTTGATTGGTTTCTATCATTTTCAGAGTCAGGGTGGCTGCACATGTTTAGAGTCCTTTCGGAGCAGTAGAAAAAGTGGGGTGCAGAGTGTGGGTCTAGGTGTTGCCTCACTGCTTTGGTTGATCATGGAGAGTGTTGTTTATTCATTGCCTCTTCCTGGGGTGGGGACATTTTAATCTCTGCTTTGTGTTTCTAAACAGAGTTATTGAAGTTTTTCTAATGATTCTTTTCTCTTCAGGGGAGTTGGCTGCATCTTTGTTGAGATGATCCAAGGAGTTGCTGCATTTCCAGGAATGAAAGACATTCAGGATCAACTTGAACGAATATTTCTGGTAAGTTCTGTATAAAGTGCTTCTCAGAAAAACATGTTTCTAATTAGTTACTTAATGATCTGCTGGAAATATTTTAAAACATAGTTGTCCATTGTTGTCACATCTAATTATAACATTTTTTTGCCTTTAAGTGGCAAGGAATTATTCATTGACAAGTGTGCCTTTAAATTATCATATGTGAATAAAATGATAACGTAGTAAGAATGAGAGAGATAAGAGAAGTAGTGTAGAATAATGGGCTGTAATTAACATCCAGGCATAATGGTTCCAAATAAAGTATGTAGAGATTGGGCAACTTCCAAGAAGATGGAGCTCATCTAGACACTTCCCTCCATGCCTGCACAGTAGGCTTCCACTGATAACTGTCATCTGTAATATTGAATGTGGAGAATGGGAAGTGCAGGGGACATGGTGACCTTGCAGAGGAAACAGCCAGGCAAAAGTCACCTCAGTCAGGTCTGTGAGACTGTTCTAGTCTATGAGAAGTCACATGGTGGCATGTTTCCTTGAGATGATGTGAGGAAGATGATGTGTCGCTCCCATCATCTTCTTCCTCAAACTGTAAGTCCACTCTGGCTATGAAACCAAAATGCAAGACATTCTGCAAAATTCCCTACTCATACTCTTCAAAACTTGTCATTGTCATAAAAAACAAGGGAAGTCTGAAAAACTCTTATAATCCAGGGGGAAGCTAGGAGCATGTGACAGCACAGAGTGATATGGTCTCATGGATGGATCCCTGGATCAGCAGAACACAATAGAGAAAACCAGTGAAACCCGAATGAAGTATGGGGTTTAGTAATGTCCTTGGACCGATGTGGATTTTTATTTGGTACAAATGCACTGGGTAGAGCTTAAACAAGAGAAGCTGAGGGAAGGCTGTACCAGAACTCTCACTAATATTTTGGCAATCTTCCTATAATTTTAATTTCTTGTTAAAAAAAAAAAAGTTGTATCTTGAGTTTTGGCAAAATTGTTGTGTTGAAGCAGCTTGTCTGTATCTATCCTGTACTGTCTTGTTTTATCTTGGTGGCTTTGGACAGGGTATTACTCACTTTCTGAAGCTGTTCCCTCAAAGATGAGAGAGGAATTCTTCTCGAAGGTCACTTTGAGGAATCACTGACTTAGGAATAAGAAATGCTTCTAAATGCCTAGCACACAGTAAGCATGGGTTGTTCTCATTACATCCTTTTCATATCAAGTTCTTTCATTCAGTGGGATTTTTGTCAGTAGTCAGAAGTACGTTATTTAAAACCCAAAATAATATCTAGAAAAAGTATTTAAACTAAGCACATTCTGATAACTCCTATTTCCATACTTCTCCTTACTTACAAAACTCTCTTGTGAAACCACTGAGGTGGATTTTAGTGTAGACTGTGTCGGGAGATGCATTGTCATTCATTCTAGAGATGTGGGCTCTCCTTTTCAATAGAAGAATGACAGGGGGGGTGCTGTGCATAGATTGAGACTGTCACTGTTGTGTTCCCCTCCATGTCAGCTGTGAAATGATGAGAAAAGACTATGGTTCCCTCACGCAGTGTCCCCTATCACATAGCTGCTGTACGATGGCAGATGGACGAATAGAAGAGTCACTGACTGAGTCTTCAAAGAGTTGTGGTGTTGGATTTTCTCTTTCTCCTGGAGGTTATCTTTATCTGTTTCTTTCAATTGTATTAGAAGTTATGGCTGCAATGCTGAAATGGACTCTCGTGATTACAAAATAATGCATTTTCATAATGGAAAATCCCCATACTGTTCAAAGGTACAGAAGCTGAGTGTTACCTCCATGCCGCCATGACATGACTCACACAAAATCACTTTAGTGTTTTGGTATATATATGCCATTGAATTTTTATATGTGCTCTAAGAATTTAATCATGTATTGTCTACCATTTGTAGGTCCCATTTTCATTTCATAATATATAACTAAGACTTCATTGGAGAAAATTCAGAACCATGTCATCATTTTTAATGACAGAATGTTTCACTATATGGATGAGACGCTATTTACATATCTAATCCATTATTTTTTAAAAGGCTACTAGAAACTACATTGTATCCCTATTAAGACTAATTATTAGAATTGAAAAAACCTTAATGTAATAAAGTCAAATTTCATAAATTTGTTGACTATTCTTATATATCCATTGCTTTATCTAAACACACAAAGCTCCTCATCCCTTTTTACTCAATAAAATCTCTTATATTTTTCATTTCACTGGATTAGGCCTGTAGATTATGTAGGAAACAAATTATATAATATTGAGCTTTTGGGGTGGTATTTATTTTAAGTGTATGAGTGTTTTGCTTGCATGTCTGTCTGTGCACCATGTGATTTCCTGGTGCCCATAGAGGTCACAAGAGAGTGTTGGATTCCTTGGGACTGGATTTCTGGATAGTTGTAAGCTGCTATGTAGATGCTGGGAATCAAACCTGAATCCTCTAGAATAGGTGTTTTCAACCACTTATTGTCTCTCCAGCCCAGTTAGTTTTGTTGTTGTTACTGTTTTAGGTTTTATAGCCTCAAAATCTTCATGTAGATGAGAATGACCTTGACCTTCTGATCTTCTTGCCCCATCTCTCAAGTGCTGGAGTGATAGATGTGGCCTACCATGCCTAGTTTATGCAACACTGGGATGGAGTCTAGGGCTTCATGTGTTGGTCGATTACTCTACCAACTGAGCTATGCATTCATTACCAGCCACATGTATAATTTTTATAAATATATTTTTATTTCCTTTTTCTATACTCTTCACTTTCGTTGAATTATTTTAGACAGTATATCCATAAGAATTCTTTTCCTTTTATTCCTTTTGTCTGTTTATAAATATGATGTGTGTGCATATTCACATGTGTGAGGATGCTTGAGTGTGCATGTGTATGTATACATGCTAGATGTACTCATTTCAGTGTGGAGGGCCAGATTTGATATTGGAGTCTTTCTGGATTTCTGTTCCATCTTATTCTTTTGAGGCAGGTTGCTTTAACCAAACCCAGAACTCACCAGTAAGGCTAGTCTGGATGCCCTGACTCCATTTTCTGAGACTGGAGTTATAAGAATGCCAGTGTGCCTGTCTGATGTTTAGATGGTTTCTGGAAACCTAAACTTAAGTAGTTCATGTAGCAAATCTTTTCACTGAGCCATTTCTCCATGAGCATTTCTACATACTTTGTAATTGTATAAAACAATTGAAAAAATCATTTTAAAGATGTATAGTTTATATATTATCTATATCATGCTAAATCATATCTAAATAATTAGCTGTCAGATTTGTTTAATACCCAAGTATAGTCATTATATCACTCAGTTATATTTTGAGACTAATTTCTTACATTTCTAGTTAGCTTTTAATACTGAATCCTTTCAAACAATAATTATATAACCTTTCCAAATTTTTTAATTAGTTTCATGTTAAAAAATACTTTCTTATATTTAAAATAAGAAAGTCAGGTGTATAACCTTGAACCTCAGCACTTGGGAGGCAGAAACAGAAGAATCAGGATTTCAAGGCCAGCCTTGGCAATGTAGCAAGTTCAAGACCAGTCTGTTACGCAAGACCCTATCTCAAAAACCAATAAATAAATAAATAAATGAGAAAACATAAAAAGGATTAGTTTCTTTTTGTATATTCAGGATGAGTTTAGAAAACCTGAATAGTGATATGAATGAGTTATATGTTATATCAATAGAACTAAGAAAATGAGTTTCACAAAGCAATTCTTCCTGGAAATGTTTGTGTAATGCAAATAATTTATATCAGAGAGCATTTGTTGGCTCTCTTCCTGTATGGATATTTAGCTCCTATTTCTTAATTTTATGGCAATGCTTTTCTAATTTTATGGGTATCCAGAGACTTTGAGCCCTGGCTAGGCTTTTAATAAGACAGGGAAATAAATCATTACAAATTTCCCATGGGATTATTGATGTACCAAGACATGATTCGCTCTTCTTAGAGCACAGAGACCTGTGAATGCAGATAACCATTGTGACTCCTGACAATAATTGTTTCATTTCCCATAGATACTTGATGTACATAATGCTCTTTAAGATAAAATGCCCTTTGATCGTTAAGAGCTGAAGATCATTTTCTGTGGAAGATTGCTGCTTCAGAATTGAATGACCAAACACTTTGCCCTGAAAAATTAGTCAAAATCAAACTAACATCTAGGAACTTCGGTTGTCAAATGTTATAATCTTAAATATTTTATAATCTCCTCTGGATTGTTGTTATTTGCCAGTGGGTTTGTATAACATGCTAAGAAGCCACTTTCAAGACTTAGTGATCACTCAGAGCTTTGTGATCTACTCTCAGGACTTAATGATCACTCAGAACTTTGTGATCTACTCTTTGGACTTAGTGATCACTCAGAACTTTGTGATCCACTCTCAGGATATTGGACAAATTCAGTATGGTTGAATCAATGCGGAAAATGCTTTTCCTCAGTGACCTTTCATATCTGGCCTAAATAAGAAGGCTATTAAATGGGGATTAAATCTACTAGAAACTGCCAAACCTCTTTTCTGAAGTGGCAGTTGTATATGTGGGCTCTAGTAAAGCATTGCCAAGCAGACAATCAACTTTGAAAGTCATGAAACATGAGATTATTTGGTTTGTTTAGTATCTTAATTCTGAGATTAAGTACATTCATTTTTTCCTGTAAACTGTGTATACAAAAGTGGTTAATAACCTTGAAGCATTAAATTAATAACTTGTAACCTAAAATTTAATTAGTTCACACATACCATATCTTTATTAAAAATGTGCAAGGCAGCGAAGACCAGCTAGTGAACGCCTTTCTATTTTTTTTCCTTTGTACTTCCCTTTTTTGGTAGGAGAAAGCTGGTTACATTTTAAACAAGTGTAATTAATTTGTTTTCAGAGCACTATAACCATGTTGGTATACAAAGTGAGCTGCTGTTGCTACAATCTGCAATTTCAAATCGAATCATTTTCCTTGCATTCATGATGCCCATATGCAAGACACAAAGGTGGTAGCAT